ATTCAATTTTATTAGGTGTAATTATAAATTTTTATAAAAAAATAAAAATTGATATTAATTATAATATTTATAAATATAATTAAATTATTAATAAATTAAAATTTTTTTTACAAACAATTTATAAATTAAAGATTTAAATTGATTTTTTAAAATAAATTTATAATAAAAATATATGTTTATTACTGAAAACCTTTTCATTTTTCTTTATTGGCCAAAAAGTTAAAGAAAAAGAAGCCAAGTGGAACCCATATAAATCAAGCAAAAAGAAGGTGAGTGGGACCCATATACTTCTGGTCAAACTCGTGCCACGTTGTCAGTTGGGCAAACTTAGCAGCACATCACCGTACGATTGGCTCTGCATAAAAGAAAAATAATTCAAGATTAACTTTTTATATTATTTTTTTAATATAATTTAATATATTTTTAAATAATTATTTTTTATTTATTTAATATTATTTAATAATATTAAATATATTTACCTATATAATAATATATAAACATTATATAAAAAAATTATGTAAAAAGATTACCTTTTTTTTGGTGAAAATAAAAAGATTACCTTTCTATCATTATTACCCTCATAAAACACTGTCGTAGATCATATTTTATCAAACTCAGCACCACATCATCAGTGGGCCCCATAAAAAAGAGCTTACGTTAAACTTTTCTGCAGTGATTCGTCAAATGAGGGGCTGATTTGCCACCATCTGATGAGTTTAGGGGTTCAATGCGTCTACCTTTTGTTTAGGTGTTGATTTGCTACTATTTGATGAGTGTAGGGGGCTGATTTGTCCTTTTTGCCTTTTTATTTTTATTATAAAAAATTACATATTACATTCTCTATTTAACATATTTAATTTTTCTTAATAAAATAAGAATTTAGTAATTAGTTAACAAAATTTTATATTTATCCCTAATTAAATCATTACTTAATTAAATCTTTTATGTAAATTAATGCTTAAAATGTGTCTTTAATACAAGGACACAAACTACTTTTTAATTATAATTATAAAAATGTATTTTAAATTTGGACTACACAATACAAATAAAGTTATTAAAATATTTTTAATAAAACTCTTTTTATATTACTCCATTTGTTCAATTTAAGTAAATTTAATTTTTAAATTTAGTTATCTATTTTTTTACTTTCTCTTTTTAAAATAATAGATGTTTTTTTATTTAATCTTTAGATTAAAGATTTGGAAATAATTTTCATTTTTCCCTATTTTAATCTAAGAAATAGAAATAAAGAATTTTTTTACAATATAATAGATAATTAAAATCAAAAGATAATATAAAGATAAAGTACATAAAATCTTTCATAAAAAATTTAATTTAAAATTAATAAATTAATGTCAACAACCTAACTAATTCAGTGGTTATCTCCTTCCATTAAAAGTAAAAAATTTTGAATTTAAATCAAATAGCATATAGGTGGAGTGAGATAAGGAATGTAAGATGATTATTTCTTATCGTGCAACCAAAATAAATATATATATTAATAAATTAATACTTTTAATGAGATGTTATGTAAAAAAGTATTGTCAAATCACAATCCAAGCGCAACCTCAATAAACTTTTGCTCTTTTAATGTCATCAAAATATTATACTATAAATTTTCACAATACACAAATCTTTCATGAAATATTCCTTTTACAATAGTCCGGCCCGGACATTACCATATGGCGTATGCTGCCTCAAGTCCATCTACCTCTTGCATATAGCATTAAATTTTTTTTAATTTTATCCTAATTAATAATTGTTCCATGTTTAAAAAGAAAACATTTAAACTTCCTAATTCCCCTTATTAATGAGTAGTAAGTGTATTTTTATAAACTTAAATAATTTTCTCTATGTCATGCAACAAGGAAAATGAATTACATGTGCTGTTGTATGATTACCAAACGGTCCTCTCAAAAGAAAAAAAAAAATGGAAACGAGCAGCGCTGGGTCTTTTTGACTCACTGAAGTACCAAACTTTTCTTTTCTGCCGACATTTTCAGAATTATTATTATTATTATTATTTTGAATAATTTTGTAAGACTTCGGGTTAAAACCATTGCATGAGGAGGAAAGTTACACTTAAACGTG